AGTTAGTGCTGACAACATTATATAATAAAATGAGTGTTCTACTACAGAAAGTTTGAAAAACAGATACCATAGAAACATTACAAATGCTGTCTTATCATTTTCATGAGTTAGTCTCTTGATGCAACAATCACAAAAAATGCCCTCAACTTGACTTTAGCTTAGCAGGAGGCATGATATCATTTTTCTTCCCTCCTCACCTACTGCATTCTTTTGTCTTCCTCACCTTTCAAAATCCTTTCATTCTACTACTCTAAATAAAATAAATAAACAAACAAATAAAGAAATAAATACATAAATAAATAACCCCAACAAAAATTAAGCACTGAAAACACAGTAACCTCCATGACATTTAGGAACCTGCATTATACAGTCCAACTTTCAGTAAGCATTAACTGTTGTATTTATACAAACGCTCCTCAGAACACTGTTCTCTCTATACTTCTGAATAGCAATAATATTCTTTGTAGGGTTCAGTACGTACTACATGTAGTAAGTAATGAAAAAATTGCCATTTAAAAAACTTCTTTATTGAAAAAAATATAAATACAGAAATTGAAGTATTGTAAAAGCAACATTCCTGAAGAATCTCTACAGTTCTTCACAGTATGTATCAATATTTTAATTTCACATTACACACACTAGAATAAGACACTTTGAATCACCCACAGTTTATAAATCATTAAAGAATTCTCTACACAGGAATTTGTTTCAAGAAAGAAGGAAGACAGTATTTATGGCTCGAAAAATTCCCCATTTAAAAAAGACGTTTGGTTAGTAGAACCTGTGTGGATGCATCAGTAAAATATAACGTATTTTAATTTCAAAAACTTTGTCAGAAACAGGGGGCTAATTAATACACTTTGAAGTAGGGAATATTTCTAGAATTATTTTTCTCCCCTCCATATAACTTCCAAAATATTTCCAAAGCATACAAGAAAAGGGAGGCTATGTCACATTTTGAGTATGCTAATAAATTGCACCAGTTAGAAACAATCTAGAGATGGATCTCTTTTGCTCTGTCTCTCCTGTTTATCCTCACATAGTGTGTTCCATCAATTCCTCCTGACCCTCAATAAAACTTCAATCTTGTTTGACCTAAGAGACCTTGATTTAATTCTCCAACATCCCTGCCATTGAAGTAGTTCAAATTGAAGTTGACAACACAAAGATTTTAAAAGTTTGGCCCATACAGCTCTTCAGCTAAAAGTCATTCATGGCAATCCTTATCAATATTTTTGAAAGGGAACTCTCTTAGCATGAAATAAACCATACACTGAATAATACTACTAAAATAATTTAGCAGTAGAGTTGAGCACACCACAGACTTCCTAGATTATGCTTTGTTTGGGTTTTTCCTTATACCACAGGTATAAAAAAATGCACTCAGACTTGCATAACCTTTTCTTAGCAATACACAACATATTTCTCTGTGTCTCTCTGCTAGTAAACAAGAGCAATGAAACTACACAATGCAAGGATAACCAAGCACACCAATAATACTATTTCTTGTCCTAGCATACCTCTGGAATAAAACAAAAAAAGAAACACACTAATAAATCTGATCTTGAGCTGAAATATCATCTATCTTGAATGGACAAAATAAAGATTTCATTGGAAAAATCATACCTGGAGAAACACTACAGAGTAAAAGTAAGTCATAAAAAGCCCAGCAAAGAACATAAAACCTACACTACTGATTTTGCTGATTTTAAAGATTTTTCTATAATAAGAAGTACAATCACATATTGTAGTGGTTTATTTAGTTTTTCAAGAAATTCCCCTCCAGTGGCTATTTAGAATGGATGTGCCTCCTTCAGCAGAAAAGGATATTACTTCATTCTCCTTTTGTCATTAAGAACTAAAACAGTTAAAGCATTTTTTGGCATTGAGTGGAGCACAGCTTTTAGTGGAGGGTGAATTCCCCTCCTGTTGCTGGCTATGTATTTCAGGGAGAAAATTAAGCGAAAATTGATACTAGAGTTTTGGTATAGATTCAATAGGTGAAGGTATGGCAAAAATAAAAACCTTTAGAAGCATCTCAAAACTTGTCACTGAAAACTGCCCACTAATAAGCTAAACACATGGATGCAAGTATTTTTTGAGCCTTGTTAAGCATGCAGATGTGAATACAAAATGAAAAAGTGAACACTGAGCACAGAGATAACATTTATTTTGCCCACACTATGCTTTTTTTTATGTTTATAAAGCACAATAATATTTTAAAGTTATATTGGTCATAAAAAAGGGGCTGTACACAACTTCGGCAATAATTCATACCACTGCACTTCATACAACAATTATAAATTGCAAAATTCCTGTATACTTTAGGTAATGATTTAAAATTAAAGCTTCACTTCCCTCAGTAATCTGACAGGTGACAGACCATTCAATCCAACTTCTATGGTTTACACACTTCTGTTGCATTTGCAAATCCATTGTTACTTCCTACATCAACCAGGACGTGCAAGTGTCTTGGAAAAACCAACAATAATTTTAGACATTCTTGATTCTTATAAAAGAGGGGGAAAAAAATCCTGAAAACTTAAATCTGGCATGCTGATGCAGAATCAACACAAACTGTTTTCATAAACAATACTAAACAGTACTAGCCAAAAATACTTTAAAAAAACCTGTTTTGAAAAAAGTCTTCCACTGGTATATGGACATGTGCTTACAAAACTACACTCTTTAAATATTTTATGCAGCCTGAGACAAAGCAATAACTACAATCAGCACTGCAGCATTCATTTTGCAGGTATGAGGTCTCAAGTTAGCCAACTATGGTGGAGTAACCCATGACCCCACTGACACAATCCTCCTCTCAGGGAAGAGAACAGAGGAGCCTCCATGATTTTCAACCATGAGCCAGTGATTTAGTCTCCATTTTGATCTGTTCCTCTTTCAGTGACTGTGAAACATATGTTACTCCCTTTAGAACTCTGGAAATACAGACAGATAGACCAGTTGCTCTGTTACATCAAGATAAACACATTTGCCCTCTCTTCATTAAAGATGACTTGATTTCTAATATAAAACCCAAATCTTCTTGTAAGATTTTAAAGGAAATTGCCTAAACCAGGGCATTACAAAATTTCTGTTGGAAATGCTTAGCAGCTGAAGTCTTTTCCACTCTTGAAAAATTTAAAAGCTAAAAAACTTTTGCTATTGTGATTTTTACACTGTTTAGTGTATCCTGAAAGCACTTATTTCCTTCAGCTGCACCTTAAAATTGTTTTTTAAGCCTAGCAAGTGGACTTCCAAAATTACTCACTGTTAATTTGCAGTCTCTTTTTCTCTTTTGAATTGTACAGACTTGTACAGAATAATTCAAGGAACAGAAATGCTTAATAGTTCCAACAGATGAAGGCAAAGCTAATTTCAAAGAAAACACATGGGATGTTTCCTAAAACCAGAACATATTTAAATCAGGTCTCATTATGCACTCTTTCAAGGAAGTAAAGATGCATTTTATTGTAACTCATATCAGTTCAGCACACTGTAGCCTTATGTGCCAATCAGAAGCTCCTGTAGCATTTAATTACTTATTCATCTTTATTCTGCACCCGGTGCTTGAAAAACTCCTGTTACTTTCATACACCAAAATGAAATGGAAAAAAATAATCCATGGCATTTAACAGGATGGGAAGAATAAGCAGGATGATTAAGAAAACTTAGAGTGAGATGAGGAATTGTTTATAAAGATCACACAGATAAAGGTTGTGACTGAGTCTCTGCCAGCTGTCTCTACAGAATGAACTAGAAAGAAAATAAGCACAGCATGTTTAAAAACTGTTCCTTCCTGTCAGATACTATTTAATGGAACACGTACACATAAAATTTTCAAAGTGCTTTGGTCTCTGTACACATCTCTATGTAAAAGTCAATTTTATGTGTCTACCCCATCTGATA